GGATCCCGGCCGCCCCAGCTGTTTCAACCGTTCCAGTATTTTCAGCGCTATTCCGGCCGTCCGGGTCATGATAGTGCGCACAATAGACCGACCTCACGAGGAGTTGCGCGACGCCACCGCTGCCGCGGTGCATTCTGGTACCTGTAGTTCTCCCCAGTTTTCCGGCCGCGTCGGCGCGCATTATACGCCCGGCGTTTGGAAATTTCCGAGTTAGCACGAGTCTTTTACCCAGGTATACGCCTCGCAAGTGGGCTCATTTTCGTCTTCTGCGCATGAGAAAGGAAGTAGCGGTGACGTCAGAATGCCGAGCCCTGATTGGCTGATCGCGACCCCCTATCTGAGCGTCGTCTGCTCCTTTGCAACGTCGTCTGCTCGCAACGTCGTCTGCGTCTGTCTTATCTTTCCTGCGACTTTCGGAAGTCAAGCGAGCTCGACTTCGCCTTTCAGAGAGGGCAGACGAAATAACTCGAGCGGTACGTTGTTTTTGTCTAACAACTAGCAGACGCGCATCAAGAAGGGAAGTCAAAGGACTCACTGGCGAGGTCCCGAGGCGCCGAGGTTTGTTTGCTAAGAACCGAGAGGTGAGCGTGTTAGTGTCCGCAAGTTCCCTCCCAAATACTTTTTCCCTCCTTTCGTGTGCGGCGAGACACCTCATTCTTTAACGGCGTCGGCGGGTTGGCGCAGTTAACGTCGTCTGCTTTACGTAGCCATGGCTGATTTACCTTTCCTGCGTCTGTCGGAGATTCACCGCTTTTTCACCGGCGAGAGTCACCGTTGCCTCGGGAAACAAAGAGATAACAAGAGGAAGAAATTGACCTCTTAATATAAAATTGAGGTCAGCGATCAAGGTATAATACGGGAAGGGTTCACAAGGGTCGCCCGGGCATATTCCATTCAGCACGTATGCCGGTCGTGGGTCGCCGAGTCGCGGAGTGCCTGCTAGGCCTAACTGCCGTACTCCCTAGGTCGCGTTCGGTGGAATCGTGGCCGTTGGAGCTTTTCCTGGGTGTTTCTGGATCCAGCGTTCTTGTTCGTCGTGGTCTGTTTCAAGTATTTTTTACTTTTTTCTTGCTGCTTGAAGTCGGTACACGTGAGAAGCGCACGTAGAAAAATAAACGTCCGTGGGCCGTCGCGACCGCGACGCTGTCGGCCATGCTGATTTGATCGTAAGAAGTGCGTAAGACAGCTTCGGAGCTGTCGTGGGATTTTGTCGTAACCTGCGCAAAACTTACGAAAATTTCGTTTCGTGAATACGAATTTGTTCTTAAGTTTTGTCTTACGGACATTTTTTGCGTAAGATCGTTCCGTGGCCTCTGCACTTCCGAAAGTCGCAGGAAATTCAAGAGAGACGCAGACGACGTACCGAGCAGACGACGTTGCGAAGGAGCAGACGACGCTCAGATAGGGGGTCGCGATCAGCCAATCAGGGCTCGGCGTTCTGACGTCACCGCTACCCCCTGCGCAAGAAGCAGACGAACTTGCCCGCCGCATTGACTCATGGTTTTCAATCGGTGGCTTCACATGTTGTATGCCACGGAGCTAGAATAACAGCACCAGGCAAAAAGGCCTCGGACATTATGTCTTCCCGCAAGAAAGAAGCATGGCGAAGAAAGGTCGACAGAGCCGGACGGAGCGGCAGGAAAAATAGCGTTTTACGATTTGTTTCGCGATTTGCTTCATAATTTATATCCAATTATTTCAGTGAGCTAAGATATGTAAGTTTACAGGGCACGAGACAACAGAGCGTGCCGAAGTGTTCCGTAAGCTGGAATCTCTCTGACCATTTGCTCCGTAGCGGCCTATTCGTTGGTCTATCTCAAATAGGACCTCCGCACTGCTTTGCGGAGGCCGTTTTTAATACACTTCTTACTCGGTGTATTTTGGTGGTTATAACTGTTATTGCGACGACACCTTTCAAGCACAACTGTGCTTCAAAAGATCAGGACAATCACTAAAAAAGAGCAGCGATTCCCGATATGCACCACTTTATATAAAACAACTTTGTTTTCGTAAGCAGCCTTTATTTTTTTTTTTTTTATACCGACGCGAAAAGATTACATAATGCAATTTAGAAGTGCAACACGTACTTACCGCCAAAAATGTAACAAACGAACCTCATCCATTTTGTGGTGGTCTATTAGGCTGGTGTTATTGATCCATTCTGCACTATAGCACCAGTCGAGACCGCAGAAAAAAAGCTATCCCCGTCGGGCGACTGTTAGCGTTCGGATCTTGCGCAAACAAAATAAAACTGAATAGAAACTGTGCACGAAAAACCACATCCACCCGAAGCTTTCAGGTATCTGGCATGGTTGCTTCTTTTTGATAGATGCCAAATATTACGGCGCGTCAGGCATGACCTTTCTGTAGATCAGTTCTTTGTGTGCAGGCTTCTCCCGCTGTTCATCTGTACTCTGTCGCACAGGCTGTCAACCAGAATAAAACAACTTTTAGAAAACTATCGCTGACCGAGAAAGTCTATTTAGCTCCTCTTACTTGATGGCTGATTAAACGTTATGCACAAGACTGAGCACCATCAAGCTCAGTTTTTCAACACATTTGATGCTGTTCCGTGGTGCTACACCGAGCCGATGGTCCCTCGAATGTTCTTGTTCTTTGCTATTGCACTAGATGTTCACTTGTTTGCAAGGTAATTGAGACGTCCGAGGAGTCGGAATGCTCGAGTAGTGGCGCCGTTGTTTTTTTGTTTTGTTTTTTCCGCGGCCGCAGTGGGATTACCCCGTGAACGGCAGCGGGCTCACGCGTTCACGAAGACGAAGAAGCAGACGACGACGAAGCAGACGACAAAGCGATTCTAAAGCGATAAGACGACTGAAACTGCGTTTCTGCACTTGCTGAGGAAAGTAAGGCATCACAAACAACACAATCTTATGAAGTAAAAACATGCAAGACAATCAAGGTGATACCGGGGCGTGCCAAATGATAATCTATGATGATGTACGTACGCGTAGCCGTGTAGCCGGGGAGGGATGACTACAAGTAGCATGGCGGCGGCACCACTTCCGGAATGCGCGCGCCTGCGCAGTTCGCTTGGTGACATCGGTCTATTCAGAAAGAGATAAGCTCTATTTGTTCGAAGGTCAAGCATAATTTTACGCCAACCACACAATTTTCACCGTAAAATGGAGGCGTCCCGCGGATCCTAACGCAGTCACGGCGTTTGATCAGCACGCCCTGCGCAATGTTTTATACAAGGGAATGTGCAAAAGCTGTGCCGCTCATGGCCCACTTCGAACATGCAGAATGACTTGTGTATGCTGCCCTTACCCAAAGCCACCCACCGCGATCAGCGCTGCGATGACGAGGGAAACGAGGCCTTGGGAGGCGCTACTTCTCTGTGCTCGTTCATACGGTGGGAACAGCTGCATCGCTCAAAAGGGAGAATGCAGCCCAAGATCTGCAGCGCTAATAAGGCTTCCTTGCATGTTTGAAAGCGGGCGTAATACTGCAATCCTAGCATTCTTCCTTCTGAAGTTCATTTCGCCGGAAAGCTGTATACTCACCCGAGCGGCAATGGTCGCGACGCGCATATTTTCGTGCTTCTTGCTCTTCACTTTACGAGTGCTGTACTCGGACAGTAATTAGCAGTAATTAACGGATTTATCTCATTATGGAAGCATGGTTTGCACCGCTAGTCTTCGGCTTCTGTTCTGAGCCTGCCGTTTCGTCCGAGCAAAAGAAAAGAAAAAAAAAAAGGAAAATCATCACTGAACTTGGAGTCATATTTAACGTAACAGCGCACAAAGGACAAGCACAAACGAAAGTAACACACATGAAACACAGGCGTTCCTTTCCTTTGTCCTTTTCCTTTGTGCGCTGTTATGTTCAACATGCCATCATACCATCTAGCCCAGCTCACCGCCATTGGATGTCAAGACCAACGAACTTGAACCAGAAAAATTAACTTACCTAATAACCAAATTGCGAAGCGCGCGTTTTCGAAGTTTCAAAGTTTCCGAACGGATTTATTACTCAATCGTAAGCGGGAACCAGGCAGAATTTCTAGAGCCCGAACCGAGCGTCCTTTATTGTGTCTAGTTTGTCCGTGTTCCGATGCTTGTCGACTCGCCTGTTTCACCCTAGAGCGTTCAGAACCTCTCTGATTTTCTCGCCACATCGCGCCACGTAGAGGTGGCAGTGCGCTTACAAGATTCAGTAGGGAAACCTTTACCAAGAAAGATTAATTTGCCTCATGGCAGCCTGAATAAAGCAAGTATACAGCAGCTCGCAGGGAGGGAGTCAAATTTTTCGCGGTGGTGGAATCAGCGGTGCAAAACTTAATAATGCACGCGTGCTTTTTTTCTTTTCTTTTTTCGGGGGGGGGGGGGGGGGGGGGGGGGGCGCATTTGCGGTTCGTCTAGCGATATCTTTGTTGCTGTCCATCGTTTTGCAGTGTGCTTTCCCTTTGAGGTGAATCGCTTAAAATATAGTGTTTAGGCTTAAGTATTCAGTTATTCAAAACTCGTTTCGAGCAAAATGGTTTTTCGGTTGAACCACTTAACGTGTTAATGCTGTCAGATGTTTCCGATGTTTGAACTGTTTTCGTTTCGATTTTTAAGCTGGAACTACTGACTCATACACGATGCTGCTGACTAAGCAATGTGGTCTTTAAACGAGATATATGTTGTTTCTTTTCTATAGTCTTTGGCGTGGCAGGAGTATGCAGAGGTCGAAAAGCAAATGTGTTATGGTCATTTTTTCGCTTTTAGGCCAGTCCCTCGGATGGCAAATCCTGCGCTTAACGTGGTGGCGCAACGTGACCGCGTCAAATGTATGTGGAACTGTCAAAACGGCATGAGATCACTGAAGTGGACTGCGCCGCTGCGTAGTTCCCATTGCGAAGATGGCGAACAAGAGGGCCGATTTCCGCTTTTACATGACTTTGACGTCGAATGTTTCCATCGCTTTCTCGGCTGTCCGCGGAACATGCTCAGAAGGCGCGCACGGCGAAGCGCTCACACCTGGCCTCTTTACCGCAGACCATCTGGGAGATGGACCGGTACCTGAAGGACGAGCCCAGGGGCGCCTCGAAGCGGTGTGCCTCCCGAGAGCTGTCGTCGGCCGAAGAGGTACGCCTCTGGGACGAGTGCAGCAGCCCCGCAGACCCCAAGCTGCTGCTGGCGGACTCCGGCATCGGCAGCAGCGACGTAGGCGACTCGAGTGAGGCCGAGGTCGATCGGCTCTCGGACGACCTCGACTTCGGCGCGGGTGCCATGGACAACGCCAGTGAGAGCTCAGCCTCGAGTGCGCTGTCTTGGGAAAGTGACGGCTCTCCGCGGGCCAGCAAGTCCGCGCGCAGTCGCAAGGCGCTGCTGCCCACCGACCCGTTCACCATGAAGCTGGTGCAGCGGGCCACGGCGTCAGCGGGCGCCCTGACGCCGCCCTCGTCACCCGAGGCCTCGTTGATGCGGCCCAAGGCCCGGCCGTCGGCCAGGGCCGAGGCCGTGGCCGGCCCGACCTCCCTGCTGCTCGCCGCCGGTGCCTCGGTCAAACAGAGCCACTACCACGTGGCCCGGGGCAGGAGGTTCGACGTGGACTCGAGCAAGCGACGCATTCACCGCTGCCAGTTCAACGGCTGCAAGAAGGTCTACACCAAGTCTTCGCACCTCAAAGCGCACCAGCGGACGCACACAGGTAAGCTCGCCCTTATTGCGTCACGCCACGTCAGTGTCTTACGTCACTGCACTTCCTTTGATTGAACAGCGCTAACACTTTACTGGATTAATTTCACTTTGCCTTAAATCAGAAAATTAACTCCCAGTGTTGTCTCTGGGCGTCATAAGCGCATGAAACAGGACGACTGAAGTATATGGTAGTAGAACACAACATCCTGTCGGCCTCCCTGTGGTAGCTGACGTTTGGCTGCCACTCTGAGGCTTCCAAAATGGTTCTTTTCAAACTCGTCCTGCCAGCTTTTCGTTTCCCTAGTCTTTTGTATGGGCGACTGCAATAGAGCCATGAACCCGGCCCCACTGTGTTTCGACAACGGAGGCTGATTGATGCAGGCATCAAATGCCACCTAGGAAGTCCAGCATCCCACGTTTTCTTTTGGTCTTCAACCAGTGTCTGTTATTAGACGAGTTTGTATGACTGCACAAAAAAGATTCATAGCCACTGCCGATATCTGAATTTGTCACTTATTAACTGGAAAGGTCCGAGTCACTACAAACACGACGCAAATTAGATCTTCATATCTCCGGGCAGTTAAAAAGGCCGACCCTGAAAATAACGTGCCGGGCAGGCGGAGTGAGCGAGGACACCAAACAGTGGCAAACGGGTCAAAAAGTGACTTACCATGAAGGATTTCCCATTGGTTAGGACGCTCCCGCATATTCCTCCGTTAACGCCGGAATTTCTATGTTTCATAATTATTTATTTTGTCGCATAGGTATATCACGTGCTAATCCGGTATGTCAATGCACTCTACGAACAGAGCATTGCGTTTTATAGAAATGTCCTCCGTCTCTCGGTGACGTGGCGGCTCTTCCGAAGCCTCTACACGTCTTGTTTTTCTTGGGTATGATTTTTTTTTATTAATCTATTTATTTTCTTTACTGGTTACTAGACGCCGCGCTCGTGCCTTCTTAGCTCCAAATCGGACATTATGGGCCTTTTAGCAAACCGTTACCGTGTTCCGCGTACCGCACTACCGGAGCCATTTGACGCATGCTTTTAAGCGCGCGCCCGAGTGATACCGTGACCGTGGGGCGCGCGCTTTAAATCATGCTTCAAAGGCTCCGACAGTGCGGTAGCAGCGGTACGCGTCACACGGTAACGGTTTGCTAAATGTCCCTATTATTATGGGGCGTTAGAATTGCGCAATAAGTGGCCCGTATACTTCATGGAGGAGAGATCGTACAACTGGATGTCGAATTCTGTCTCTTTCCTGGGAAGGTGGAAACTTGCACATTGCAAAGGACGCTGGCGACGGACCTAAAATAACATATGCTGACAGGTGACAGCACTCGCCTAGTCGGCCAGTGGCTCGATGCTCTGCGTAGGTCAATGGGACAGGTGGTAAAAATTATAAGGCGAAAATGTTTTTTTCATTTTCATTTTGACTCTCAGGATCGCTTCAAATGGCACGAGCGTATAGCTTGGTGGCTCGTTTGTTATCGTGAGACATTTCATTTCATTTGTCGCCCCTGAGATCTGCAGAGGAAGTTCGAATTGTGAGTAGCGTACCTTGTCTTTGTATCTCACGAGTGCTGTCTCGGTTCGCGTGAGATCTTGACGGACCGTCGCTCACATTGTCATTGGTGACTATCACGAAGGGTGGACCACGCTAGAGGGCTTTCCAAGATTCAAAAGTCCCAAACGTTATTCTAAATGGTTCCTTTTTCGGGCCGTCACTGTAAGCTTGCGTGTACTACACGAGTAGAAACTGAGGGGGAGGAGGAGGCGAGAGGGGCGTCAGAACACCGAGCTCTGGTTGGAATGATTAGTGGGTAAACGCAAAGCCCTTGTCTCTACTCGCTGTTCGAACGCAAACGCCAGACGGCGTCGTTCGGCGTTCGAACGCGCTTGAAGATTGAGTAGAAACAAGGGCAGCTGGGCTTTAGGTCTACCGACTAATCCTTCCAACCGGAGCTCGGTGTTCTGACGCCCCTCTCGCCTCCTCCTCCCCCCCAGTTTCTACCCGTATAGAAGCTCGTATACTCCGCAAGTTTGACTTTCTGGACGCTGCCTTGACTTCGAGAAGTAAAGACTAGCTCCAAATGATGAATTAACGACTGGCAGATGGTGGAATTTTGGAGAGAACAAAAAAAAATAATAATTTAAACAAATCGGCAGTAAGTGAGAAAACGATGGCCATAATTACGCGAACGACGAAAACTGCGGCAGGCAGCGTGAAAAACAATCGATCGTCTGGTGCCTTAAATAAGAGTTCCGGGCCGGAATTTCGGGGCAGAAAGAAATTAAGGACCGAGGCATTATTGAAAAGAAAAGAGGTGCGAGCGACGGGGAGGCCAAGGAGGGAGGGAGGAGCAGACGCTTTGAGGACGGAGGAGGCGGTGGCACCGGAGGGAAGTTAAATTGTCTTGGAGAATTTTGGAGCACGTTCTAAGCAATTAAGGGGCGACGGCTATTCGCCGCGTGCGGCTCCAGTGGACACGAACGCACAGTCCGCCCGAATTTGCTTCTTGCTCGCCCAACTTTTGGAGTTCGCGAGGGTCGCCGGAGGACGACGCTAATTTTCTGCCGTCTTAGGTCTGCGCCGCTCCAATTACAAACAAGTGCCAGTCTACCGGGCCACGGGCGAGGCTTTTGTTCGAGGCGGCGTGTTTGGAGATGGCCCGCCATTTTTAATTAGAGTACTTCCTCCGTTTCGTTTCGTCTTCGCTCCCTGCGTAGCTTATATATATATATCTTTATGTCACACTTCTGTTTCGCCTTACCAACGCGTTTCGCCTCAAGTTTTCAACATGGACCGCGAAACTGAACGAAATCTGTGGGCCGTTTCCTCGTACATTGAAAGAGGAGGAGGGAGTGAAAGGGGGGGGGGGGAAAGTGGATCTGACAGTAGGCTCTTGCGGTTATTTGTAGGGCTTACTCGCGCTTCATTATTGCCGGATGATTCTATACGTTCTGTTCTTGGGCCTTCGTCGAGGCGTTGGTTCCTCGGTATTTGCCGCGAGCAAACGAAGCGCACGAGCATTGACTGACTCCTAGATCGACGAAGCGGTGCGCGTTAAAAGCGACTGCACTCGTTAAAGCTAGAACAAATTTGCAACGGGTGTGCCATCTATATCTGTGTTTTCGCGCGGAGCACGAAACTGGCGTAATAAATTTATGCCGCCGGGATGATGCGAGTTTGTTTTCTTTTTTTTTTATTATTTTATTCTTCGCTCCTTCGCTCGTGGAGGCGAGCGAGCGTAGTATGGCGTTATTTAAGCTCGGGGCCTGTGTCGCCGGCTCTTCGTTAAAAATGGATGCCTGGGTCCCCGTATGCACACAGCACGCCGGAAATTGGGCTCCGGCACGGGCGTTGAACCCTGAGTTAGAAGCCAGGTTGGCTGCCATGAATGCCATTTAGGGACAGTCAACGAAAAACAAGCCGGGATAGAGCTCTCGCCACTTGCCGTTTAACGGCACCTGTGCCGGTATAGTTGAGAACTGCGGCAGGATTGAGGATCTCATAATCGAGTTGAGTTTATGTATTCTCGACCTACTCATCGGAGTAAGCAACCCAAATATCGACTGGAGCTTTGCCAGGTATTAGGGCGTCATGTGGGCGTTTACGCATGCCATTTAGTGTCGCTCTGTCTGTGCACAGCGGATGTTTTCACAACGATCTCACGAAGAAAACGCAGTTAGCTTTGGAGTGAAAAGGTTAATCAAACGTGCAATTTTGGCGTAGTCTTGCTCAGATCTCACCAACATCACTCCTTTGTGGCGAATTTTCACCAAAGCAGTGCCCGCCGTGACACCAGAAAAGGCGGCAGCATGGACCTTTTCAGTGAATAAGGTGCCAAACACTTGTTAGGACGAGTATGGCTTTCGTTACAGTAACCAAACTCGTTAATAACCCAGACTGTTCTACGCATGTCGCCCCTCTCCGCCATAAAAAAGAAAAAAGAAAAAAAGAACTAAAATAAATACGAGCAACACTTCCAAAGAACCCAAGTGAACATGTGTAACGATGCGTGGACAAATGCAATTTTTGCTTCTCCACTTTAAGAAAAGAAAGAGCTAGGATGACCCTTGCGTCTCGTATATGATCCTCATGTCCTGTTGAAAACTGCGTTGCCTAGGGGTAGATTAAATTTCGCAATTCACTTGGCACGTGTCTTCAAAGTACTGCTGCAGCTGGCGCAGACTCCTCCCTCTTCTCATTGTCTTTTCCAACTGTTCATGCTTTAACGGAAGTTACTGAATGCGAAAGAGATGAGCGCAACCCAATGACCCCCCTTAACTTCTTTTTTTTTTTTTTGCGCTCGTTTGTTTTACAATACATTAGAAAGTTTTAGTAGATCGTTTCATGACCTTCGATAACGATACCCGATAACGATACGACGCATGCGCAAAGCCGTGTACGGTGTATCGAGTATGCATCACCGGAGTAATCGGAACGATCTACTAGAACTCCCTATGGGAGTGAGGTCCCCACGGGGAAGTTCGAGGAAAACGTAAGAGCGAAACGGTTTCGCTGACTGCTTGCAGTGCTTTAAAGCCCTCGTAATCAGCGGGCAGTTTAGCACGCCATGTTGGAACGAAAGGGCCTGTGAGTGCCGGCTGAGCCTTGCGTGGGTCTCTGCGCAGAATGGGCCGCGCGACGGATCGCTGAATGCCCTTCCCCCTTGTTGCGTTGCAGGCGAGAAACCGTACAAGTGCTCCTGGGAGGGCTGCGAGTGGCGCTTCGCCCGCTCGGACGAGCTGACGCGACACTACCGGAAGCACACGGGCTCCAAGCCCTTCAAGTGCAACCATTGCGACCGCTGCTTCTCGCGCTCCGATCATCTGGCCCTGCACATGAAGCGTCACCAGTGAGGCCCCGATTCCTCTCCTCCACTCGCATCAGCAGCAGCAATGACGGCGGCAGCAGGAGGAGCAAGCGCGGCTCTCCGCTCCAGATTTCGGGATGTGTGAGGAGCTTTTGTGTGCTGCCGGGCCCCGATGCGTTCCGAGCTTTGGGGTACGTCGGAGTACTCGCCTGGGCCCTTCCATCCACCTCGATTTCGGCGCTACACGACTCATCCACCCTCTTCCGAGCCCTGTTCATCGTTCCCTCCCATCCTTCTCTTTCCTATTCCGGGAGTCTAAAGCCCTTCTACCGTTCACTCGTGTCCACGCCGAGTACACTTCACGGTTTTTCTTCTCGCATCTCTTTTTTTTTTTTTTCACTTCAGCGCTTTGATTGATATATGAAGCTACCAGAAATCGGTCTCGAATGCGTGTTATTCTAAGAAAAATATTTTTATTTTTTTAACTTTTAGATGTTTTTAAAAACACTTTACCTTTTTTTTTGCTGTCAAGCGTGGGAGTTGTTTACTTCAGTTTGGTGGAGTGGCGTCTTATGTATCGGTGAGGACATCGGCTCGACATCGAGCCTAACTGTCCCTAAACTCGTTTTGAACACGCTTCTAGGAAGTGGAATGCTCCGTGTCCTAGCGTACGGTCTGATAAAAACAAAAACAAAACAAAAAATAATACGCAGCTTCGCTCTTTAAGTAATTTGGTTTCAGTTCTCCACCGCGCTCGGCCCGAAGCTACCTAATCACAAATACTTCAGCTTCGGTTTTTTTTTTTTTTTTAATTTGTCTCAAAATCCTGGTAGTTTATTACGTCGCCATAAAAAACAACAAGAAAAATAATTAAACCAAATACTGGATTTATCTTCTGTTGCCTTCTTCGCCAGGCTCTAAATATAAAAACGAAAACAAAAACAAAAAAATCTAATATAAATTTTCTATTCAAACCCCCACGCAAATTTTCCTTTTCCATGAACCTACGGACATAAAAGGACACGACTATTTGGACACGGCCATTGTAGTGATTCCCATTAACATCGTGCACTGGTGCACCCCCCCATACCCTCTTCCCACCTCGCCTTCCTCTGGCCCACGACAAGAGAGCGGAACGCACAAGAGCTGTAGTCCGCGTCGACGTGTGAGTGCCGCTGTGGCATCATTGCACGAACCAGGACCGCACCAGCGAATGTTGGCAAGAAGAAAAAAAAAAAAAAATAGAAAGTGTGTTGAGGAGGGTTGTTTTTGTGTGTGTTTTTTTTTCTTCGCCGAAACAAAGGAAGATGTGTGGACAAGTGCAGCTTCGCGATTCTTCATGGACAGACTGCCTCAACCCGTCTTCTCGCCTGTGAATGTGCGCGCGTGCGTGCCTCTTCGCAACGTACGGTTATCAGCTTTTTCTATGTCTTTTTTTTTTTTCCTCTGTCGCTTCGGAGGACATTATAAAATTAAGAAAGAAACGTGACTAACGTGTAACAGACAAGAAAACAACCAAACACCAAAAGCCACCGATGAACGAAATGACGAGGAGATGGGTGAGACAGGGGAAACTGCTTCCACGAGAAACAAGCGAAGACAGCGGGGTGACGCGTTGAACTTTTCCGAGTTTTTTTAAAAGGACGCCAACACTGCCTGCCTTGATGTGATCGTTTTTCTTTTTCACCGTTCACGCCAGGCGAGCTGCCGTATATGCGGTGTACAGTGGCAGCGAGCGCTGCAGAACGGTCGTGAGAGTGGATCATATGAAGCTGTACATATTCGCACCTTTTTTTTTTTTTTTCCCCTTTTGTGTCTCGTTTTGTTCTTACAAATTGACAGTGCGTTTTCCTGCGGTCTTTTCCGAAAGCCCTGACTGAGAAAAAGTGTCGCGTCGTTTGTGGCATCGGAATGTCGTGTGTTAAAAACAAAAACAAACAAAAAAAAAAAAACGGAACTGGTGTTCCGATGCCGAGTATATTTTGATATGTGTGTGTGCGTGTGTATGGTGTGCGCATTTCTCGCCTCCTTCCCACGTTGTTTTTTCTTTTTTTTTCGTACGAGTAATGTGTTTTTTGTGTTTTTTTTTTTAAATGCATTCGTTTTTGTTTTGTGTTTATGCATACGTGCGTGCAAGACAGAGCTGGCATTCTGTAGATATCCTTTGTTGTGCCTTTGTTTCTTACGCTGAGGAGTCGGCACTGGGCCACTATTAGAAAATGCAACAAAAATCAGCAAAATAAAGGGGGCGGTGGGGGATGTCCCAGCTTTGAAGAAGCTGCCCCAAATTTACACGGTGGAAACTAAGAACACGTTTAAATCGATCCTAAGTGAAACCGCGGAAGATTTTCCCCTCGTGCGATTTGGAAAGGAGAATACACTTCGCATAATAACATTAAATATCAGAATTAAAAACGAAAATCTAGAAAAAGGAGGCATTTCACGAGATTGCACTTACGCGCGATTAACGGATCGATTTGTAACACTAAGGGGACGTTGCTTCTTCGATATGATTGGATGAGCGCGTAGTTCCTTGCCATAGACTCCGAAAGCAGTGCGAAGATGAGACAAAAAAAAAAAAAAGATGAAACGACGGAATGGCCTCACCGAGAAAAAAACCAAATGGCATTAATGGAGACATTTTTTCGTGCTAGTCTTTCGAATCATTGAAAGAGAGGAAGAGAGAGAGAGAGGAAAAAAGATGGAAGAAAAACGCATCATTCATTGTGAGAAATCGATACGACAGATTATTAATCGCAGTGCACCGCGCATAATCATTTTGCTCTAGTCCTGCCACGAAATAAGCTTCTGTTTTATGTATAGAGATATAGAAGAATATATATAGATATATATATGTGTAAATTCGCTTTTTTTTTCAGCATTGGAAAGGAACGGTAAAAAATGATATGAACACGATGCTTTCATCTAAATCCTACTTAATTAAACCGACTCCCCGCCGTTTTTTCAGAACAGGTCGCCTCAACCGGCATCAGTCGTAACCACTAATGAAAGAATAAAAATAAAAACGTAAAACAAAACAAAAATACCGCGAGTAAGGACTAAAGATTGAGGCTGAAACCTCGGCAGATATCCACCCTGTCGAGAAAAAAAACAAACAAACAAAACAAACAAAAAAAAAACTTCAGAAGTGCCATGTTTTGAGAGTCGTCTGTTGAACACAAAGAGCGCGGAGTATTGTTTGCTACGTATACTATTGCAACTTTTGTTCTTACGTTTTACAACACAATTCCAACTATCATTCTGCTTTTTACCATTTGAGAGTGTCTTTGTTCTACTCGAGTACATGTTTCGCGTATTGTCACGAAGAGCCGTTGTTTGTTGATCGCATGTCATTGATTCATTGCCATTTCTTCGCGTTGTTGCTTTTGAACCGCTTCCAATTCACCCACTGGACTTTTGCGCGACACTTCTCCTCGGAAGGAGGGCTGGCGCGCTTTAAGCCGACACAAAAAAAAAAAAAGGGGGGGACAAAAAATGCTGAAGAAAAACGGACGCTCGTATGCACCATGTTTGAGCTGCAAGACTTCAAATAAATGACGCAACATCTGGGATGTGGTAACATCTTCGCGGACCAAAACATTTTGATGATGAAAAGAAAAGAGAACCTTGCAGACGGTCTTAGGACGCTTAGAGCATTTATTTAATCCAAACAAAACCGAGACTGGACGCCTAGATTGCTTTTTATAAAAGAGAAATAAACCCAAGACATCGCACGTTTGTGTTCCTGTTGTTTCTGTGTCTTCGTCAATTTTACTCGACGGGCATTAGACGCTTTACGGCATTAGCAGAACCGGTAAGTGGTGTCATTTTTAAAACGAGCACGAGAGTTTAGCCTAACAGTTTGTCAACTGTTCGTAGACACGCTATCGGCGCCTTCCGCTGGACACGGAATAAACGTCCTACCGCTATCTATCACAAAATTAGTGTAAAAAAAAAAAAAAGAATTACAATACGAAAGTTATAAAGGAGAAATAAACCCAAGACATCGCACTTTTGTGGTGTGGTGTCTGGTGTTTAGCTTTCGTCAAAAGTCCAAAGTTTTTTTTTTATTTTTTTAAAGCCTTATTGGCGATTGATTATGTGTTTATAGTCAGATTTATTTTAATTTGATTTCTTATCCCACCGCTAAACTTTTAGATACTATTCATTATAGCTGAACCAAACGAAGGTATTCCATCTGGTTGGGCGTCTTTTATAAACACCTCAAGTACACAGTAATCCACTTGTGAGCGCCTTCTTGGTTATTGTAATGCTAGGCAAAAAATTTTCAACGGGCTGTTTAAACGCTGGTGCGTATTAATCATGCTCTTTTAAACCTAGATATTGGCAAGGAAACGAAGGAAATTAGAAGGGACGCTTGTCTGTCACCTTTTTTTTTTTGTCCCTTCTAAATTTCTTTAAGTTTTCTTTCCCACTCTCAGAGTTTAAACATCATGATTGCAATATGTCGTCTGGGCAAGCACAAATGGCAGTGAAGCCATCAACTGAGAAATTGGTGCACATAAATTAAACGAATGGTCTAAGACATGCTGGTCATTGAGTAAGAGGATGGTTGACAAGCAGAGAGGTTAGCCTGAGCGCATAAGCCATACCGGATTAATAAAGATTCAAAATGAGGTTTTAAACACGTTCAATTTCACTTTTTTTTTCTTATTTCACAATTTCACATTTAGCTTTACTGTGGATTTTATCAAGGGCCCTTAACATTGGCGCATCGCCAGTGCGCACTAGATGAGATAGGTGTGTTGCAGTGAAAACAACAACCAAGAAATCGGATCGCCAAAATACTAAAAATAATGGTCTCAACCACACTATACTTCGTTTCAGCTGAAGTCCAGACGCAGCCGATGCTACAAGCGCGAGTCCCGGGCCTTCGGCGTCCCTGCCAAGCACGCGCGCTGGTGCAGTGCAAGCACCGTTCAGGGCCACGTGCTCACGCTTGTATTATTGGCTGCGTCTGGACTGAAGCTCAAACGATGTATACATCCCTCCAGGCTCAGAAAAAGCTAGAAAGACCTTCCATTTCACCGTTTTCTATTCTGAAGACTCCTAGAAAAATAGAGCCAAACAATATCCTAACTGTGCACATTGGCAGCGCTCTCGGGGAGAGGTGCTACAAGGTGTACTGCAGCAAACCTAGGAAACCACAAATGAAAGAGTCAAAATAGTAAAATTAGCGGTCTCAGCCATACTGGATACTTCCGAGACTACGTTTCATATGACGTCCGGGGCGGCCAAAAGCTAGTTACAACATAAACATAAACGCACAGACTAAACATTACAGGAAGATCCACTGGTGGATTCGTAGGGAACCCGTTAGCATGACCCATGGAAGACGCCACACACGCCCCCCTTTGGAAAACGCTAGCACTGACCCCTTCATTTTCTTCTGGCTTTCTCTTTTGCTTCCTGCATTTTTTTGCTGGATCTTTTCGGCCTCGTTACGGGGTCAGTGTTAGCGTTTCCCAAAGGGGGTCGTGTGTGGCGTCTCCCATGGGTCATGCTAACTGATTCCCTAAGAATCCACCGATGGACCTTCCTGCAATTATTTCACCCCTTTTCTGTAATCTCTGAGTCACAGGCTCGTACGGGGTTGGTCAGAAAAGCATTGGGAGACAGAGAGTAAAAAGAAAAAAAAAAGGTCACATATTTCCACACACAAAAGAAATATCAGTCAGGAAGAAAATAAAAAAAAGTAATGAGTCTACAACTAAAGTCTTTAGAAAAAAAGACGCAGTTCAAAATACGGGGCTATCGTCCTAGAAATCCACCGGCATATGTCGTGACGAGGCTCGGTTCCTGGCTTCTGTAGACGCTCAGTTCAGAGACGGTGTTGAGGTGACGTAGATGCTTATGCCTCCGCTGTTCCCTTTACACCGTGCGTAGCGGCGGGTTCTGGTTCAGGTCGACGATACCGGGAGACAGCCGGCAAGATTCTCCAAGCAGCTGCCGAACGTCGCGGCTCGTGCTTTTCACGCACCTTTTTCGCACCCGTCACTGTCTTTCAATTTCTTCCTTCCACAGAACCATGACACCCCCCAAACTTGAAGAAGTTTATAAAACAAAAGTTTCTTTCTTGATGCCTGGTACTTCCGAGAACTCCATCCTGACATCAGAGAGCACAAGCCACCCCCCACAATCCTCCTACTCGACAGTTTCACAACGCGACCTTCTCGATGACCTTGCCACGACGTCCGGTTGCACCGCACCACACTTGCCCGAAGGGACCTCTCCGTCCACATTCAAATCGAGGATTTCTTCTGTAAGAACTCACCGTAGTCACACACATATACAAAAGACACGTCGTAAGTCTGAAAAAAAAAGAACATTCACACACAGACAAAGCAAAAATAAATATGCATTGAGATAACCCATCCTTTCCTGGGTCTCGACTACTTACCCCTAACAAAAGCTTAGTTTAAAAGAAACTTCTAAAGCCGGCTTAGAAAGTCTGCTCCCACGTTATCCCTACCCTTTATGTATTCAACGTGAAAGGTGTGATCTTGCAAAGCCATGCTCCACCTCATCACTCGCCTATTCAGGCACGTAGCCAGGGGGGAGGCCCATGGGGCCCGGGCCTCCCCCGAAATCTTCCATTTTGCTGGGACCTCCTCTCCCCCCTCCCCCTCATACAGCATTTTGTTATGGGCGCCCCCCCCCCCCCCCCCCCCCCCCCCCGAAACAAAATCCTGGCTACGTGCCTGCGCCTATTTGTATGCTTAGCTTGGTTCAGAAATTCCAGTGATTGGTGATCGGTCTGAACTCGAAAAGTCCTGCCGTAGAGAAGCAACCTAAATCTGGCAACGGCCAATACCAAAGCCAGACATTCCTTTTCTAACGTAGCGTTAGTTTTTTTCTGCGGTGCCGAGTTTTCTACTGGCGTACGCCACGGGATGTAGCATTCCATCCTTTTCTTGAAGCATCAGTGCACCCAGACTCGCGTCAGATGTGTCTGTCCTTAGCACGAACTCCTTTTCTGGGTCTGGCGCCAACAAGACGGGAGGATGTCCCAGCTTGATCTTTAGTTAATTCAAAGCCTCCTTGTCACAATACACTGCCTGCGCGGTTCTGTCTCGTTCCTCACACACAATTAAAGTCACCCGCGTAACTGCGCAAAAATTGAAAACAAAACAAAACACCTCTCTGTCTCTCGCAGCGTTAGGTGCATAAATACACATCAAGCGCCATTGCACTCCTGACAATATGAAATCGCAAGAAATGAAACGCTCGCACTCATCAATGACTATTTGCTGGTTTTCATATCTGAAAGACCTTTTTAGAAAAACAAAACAGCCCGCCGAAAAGCCCGCAGCATGACTCACGGCTAACTTGTATTGCCCCAGATAAGGACTCAGCGCTCTGGCGATATTATCCCCCGCTTCCATCTTCGTCTCTTGTACCGCAAGAAAATCCGGCTGCTCGTCTGCCAACAAACGTTGCATTTGGTATAGCTTCTTTCTCGAGGACAACACCCGAACATTCAAAGTAGCAAAACTAAGTGCCATTCGGACCTCACTGAACTAGGCCAAATCACTCAAGGGAGGGAAGTTAGGATGCAGTGAGAGTAAGCCATTGGCAAAACATGCTACGCAGTATATACACCAATACAAAATACAACGTTCTTACTTGTGGTTTTCTTCTCAAGTGACAAAGTCCAGACACCCTGCAATCACATTTCTGGTTCCTTTCGCGTTGAGTCCTTTCTTGTCAGACTTCCACCTGCACCGCCAGATCTTGCGCGTTGCCGGACCCTCTTGGTTATCAACTGAAACCTCTGAACCATTCTCCCCTGAAACCCGTCCGTCTGTTCAGGCTCCTGGGTTTGTGCCGTTTCTAGTAATCTGTTTCAAGTGCCACTCATTGCCTCCATTTCTTGCTCATCGTCCTTCTGGACTTCTCCCCCCCCCCCCCCCCCCCCCCCCTGACGTTCGGGCCCAGTTCGCACAGCGAGTAGTCTTGGTCGTACCCTTGATCTTAAGATGGTGAACCTCGTGCTGGGTCTCTGACCACGGGTTCAGTGACACCCGCAGTATCTGGACCAAGCTCCGATGCTGACAGGGCCTTGGAAAGGGCACCTGCAGCTTCTTCGGCTTCTTCCTGGTCCTTGACGAGCTATGATCGTCTCGTCCGCCGTCCCCGCGTTAGCTACGTCGGCGTACGTCCGCCTACAGTCCTCTGTTGTATGCCCAAAACGCCGACAACTGTCGCAGCGGGGCACACAGCACTCTCTCCTGACGGGGCCAGTTCTTCGGCACCTGAGGCATAGCGGAGCCCTACCTGGAGCCAGGACGAGTGCCGTGCAGCCAGGCATCCGGAGTTGGTGCGGCAGTTGCTCTACGGTGACTCCTTCCTTCAAAGTTAGCCTCGCAATTCTAGTGGTACACTGGACCTCTTCGAAGCCACCGACGCACAAGGTCTCTCTTGTGACCTCTAGGTGTCACTTTCGATCCCGTACGACTCCAGGGCCGTCCTGACGTTGTCGTCCTGGAGGTGGAAGGGAATCCAGTGAAGTTTGACCCTCACCTCGTTTTTCTCCGGGTCAATGACGAGGCAGCGTCTTTCTCTAGCCTCGGTGGTTCCTGCGGCCAACAGCTTCTGCTTGGCAGATGGAGACATCTTTCGTGACTCGGCTCAGCAGATAAACCGCGGCTATCAGTAGCCGTTGATGCCGCTTCGACGGAGCTCATTCGGATACGTCCTTCCACTTCGAAAG